TAGTGCTGGGCGGTATGAGCAAAAATTTATATCACGGTATTTTTCAAAATTATACCGGTTTCACGGTACATGACGGTATTTTTTTTTCATGCATGACCGGGTGTTAACCATATTTTCTACTGATTGAGAGAGGAAATACTGCAGTATATTGACTTAGAATGCCCTATTTTACTGTCATGATGAGTGAATATTGTCAAGAAATACCACACTATATAGTGACTAAACACGACCCCTTTTAATACATGTTAACCAGGAGTCACTCTCATTTATAATCGCGGCATCGTCTGATAAAATCAACATGCATCTACACTAAAGAGCGGCTATGCGGTTGTTTTGGCTATATTACTTTTTTGTCTCATGTAGCGCACTGCCTGCGTCTGAGTAATAAAAATTTTTTAAAAACGTGCATGTGATATTAACAGACGAACTACGCTCATATTTATAATTCCAAACAATCAGTAAGCGACAGGTGCTAGGAAACGCTGTTTTGTACTCATTTATTGACGAGTCGGCTGCGGTGCGGCCAACTGAATGTGCTGCTTCTCTGCCGCTCACTGCACAGAACAGACGCCGAGAGAGGTGACACTTCTCCGGGAAAGTCAGACCTCGCGTTTGCGGGACAGCACTGGCGAAATCTTCCAACTGAACCATAGCTAAGGTTTATCCAAAAAAGTTGCTAGGTTTGTCAGTATGAATATTCTATGGAAAAAAGCCGCTAAAAGGGTGTGAAAGTTGCTAAATCTAGTGCTAAAGTCGCGATTGTGTGTGTGTGCGAGACGCGGGAGCTGATGGCAGGGGGCGGTGGATATTTGTGGCGGTCAATGTGGATATTGTGGATGAGTTCTTCTGTGTCATCACGTTCTTTTAGTTCTACAGCTTCAGTTTCGGAACTTTCATGCTTAGTAACACATACAGCTGTTCCCTCACCACAGTGAAACAGTGAAAAAAAGGGACCCCTTTCAAACAGTGTCGCGTTCCGAACGTTGTTTAAGTGACATACACCGGTATTGCGGTATTTTAAAAATTCATATCATAACAAAAATAAACACCGGTATTCGGTATGAACCGGTATACCGCCCAGCACTAGGAAGTCCTTCATCTCCAGTGTTTGAGGAGAAAGACGGGTAAATCTGTCCTCGTTAGGCTTATAAGGCTGTCTGTTCGCAGCGGTGAGGGAATTATCCGTGCAGGAACAGCCGTCATACAGTGGACTGACAGGCAGAACAGTTGCATCAGGTGCGAGGAAACTCCTGAAAGTTGCTTCCTCCACGCTTGAGGTGTTGTTTGACAACTCGTTAGAAGGAAATCCTGGATGCACAGCGGATGTTCTCTATCTGTCAGTAGTGAATAGTTGATGAAAGTTATTATTGTCTATTTGGCAAATGTTTACAAAAACACTTAGAGCACCTTTAAGTTTCATTAGTAATTTAATATCCTGAAATGAATCCCATTGATTATCTTCCAGACAGTCATTTGTTTTCTCTTCGGTGTGCTTAATGCACCCAAACACTGTTGTTTGCTGCTCTGTTTTGGCCTGACTCATGTCTGTTTCTGCATGCAGGGCATTGTGGGAAACCTGTCCAGTGGGAAGTCGGCGTTAGTTCATCGGTATCTGACAGGAACATATGTCCAGGAGGAGTCGCCCGAGGGTGAGTGAGCCGTGGGGAGGGCCGACTACAGCGTGTTTGTCAGGGCCAGTCACCCAACAAGACCTCCTGCCGCGGAGCAGACTTTGCTGGCCATGAATTTGTATCGTCTCATATGCTCATCTGTGCACTGCATTTATTTATTTATTTTTATTGGAACTAATTATTTTGTCAGCTAGAAATGGCCTGCGATGGTTTTGGGTTGACACTGAGGTTAAAAGTCAAACTTTAGACACGTGTAACAAGCTTCAGTCAAGATCTTCTTTTTATTTGCATTAGTACCCTTTTTTTTTCTTTTTTTTTTTGAAAGAAATTAATGCTTTTTTCCAGCAAGGATGCATTAAATTGATCAAAACTGTTCCTCAATGACAACTAGTTAACACACACACACACACACACACACACAGGTGAAGGTTCAGGTAGATCTGCAGTGTGTGAAGGGTCGGGAGTGTGTGTGTGTGTGTGTGTGTGTGTGTGTGAGAGTGTGTGTTAGAGTGTGTGTGTGTGTCGTGCAGCGGGTCAGGGATGGGCTAATGGTCTCTCCGAACGTCCCCGTGGGCAGATGAGCTATTACAATTAGAGAGATGAGAGAGGATCGTTGCTCTTATTTCATCCTGTCTGATGCATCTGTATGAACTGATCGTGGCTGATTTTAAGGCTGTAAAAACAAGGCCTTAAAAATCATCTTTAAAAACACAGATTATTTTAATTATCTGTATACCGTAATAATACCCAGTGTATCAAACATTCATTTCTCATTTAAAAATATATAATATATTTGTTATCGTAAAAACTTTTATTCTGAAAGATATTAATACTTTTCAGCAAGGATGCATTAAATTGATCAAAAGTGACATTAAAGACATTTAGATTTTTATTTCAAAGAAATGCTGTTCTTTTGAACTTTCTTTTCATTAAAGAATCCTGAAAAATTAAATGTATAAAGGTTTCCACAAAAATATGAAGCAGCACTACTTTTTTCAACATTGATAATAATCAGAAATGTTTCTTGAGCAGCAAATCAGCATATTAGAATGATTTCTGAAGGATCATGTGATGCTGAAGACTGGAGCTATGATGCTGAAAATTCAACTTTGACCACAGGAATAAATGACGTTTTCTAATATATTTAAAAAGAAAGTAGTTCTTTGAAATTGTAATATTTTTCACTATATTGCTGTTTTTACTGTATTTTAGATCAAATAAATTCAGCCTTGGTGAGCATACAAGGGACTTCTTTCAAACACATTTAAAAATGTTACTGACCACAGACTTTTAAACAGCAGCATATTTATTTAAATAAATATTCTGGGTTCAATACATGCACATAATCAAGACTTTGAGTTGTTCCTCAATTTGTAATAGCAAAGAAAAATTGTGTTGTTGGTAATGCGCTTACACAAGAAGCCTATGGGGCAAGATTACCTTAGAATCACTGTTTCGAAAGTATCACCATAAAGCAAACATAATATGTCTTAACACGAGTCTAGTATGATAAAATCACTTACCAGCCTTTCCTGAGTAAGTCGCATCCAATTTTATCATCATATCAAGCCAGCAAACAAAATTGTGAAAGGTTAACTAAAGGATTTCATGTATTTGTATTGATTTTATCTAAAGAAAATTACATCTGTAATGCATAACGAGTAACGAGTGATTTTTAGACAGTTTTTAGCTCATAAAATACAAATTTTTGTATTGAAAAAGACAGAATTGACTGCTTTAGCCAAAATTCCAGCAGTACATTGTGTCTGCATTATTGTAAATGAGATGTTTGTTGTAAATTAAGAATAAAAATGTATTGTTTTAGTGAGAGAGAGTAAAAATAATTGTAAAATGTTGACAATATATTTAAGCTTGCATTGAACCCGGAACATGGTGAACAATAGCCGCGTTGCTTTAAATGAGGTAAAATGTTGAGAATTCTGGCCCAGTGGGTTTTGTTGGATGCCTGTATGCACATTGTGTTTCTCATGAAGGAAGAAGACGCTCAGGAGCCTGTTGTGACTTGTTTTGAATTCGGCTTTCACAGTTCAGTCTCATTCAGTCAGATTCTCTGCTTCTCTCTGACTGAACTGTGGCGTCGATGTGGAATAATGCTCATTTCTAATGCAGTGAGAAAAATGAAAATCAATGAATCGCTGTGGGATTGTGAGATTGGTGTTAACACACACCTGAGTACTGAACTTCAGAAACCACGCTAAAAGATACTTGTTCTTCTATAATAGAAATACTACAAAATTCAGGAACCATGCATTAGAGAGAGAACAGAAGCTCTGCCACAAGTTATTTTTATTGATTATATTCATTTATTATTAAAAATGAATGCCAGTCATTTTCTGTAATAAAGCCTTGTGCTTTGACGTCTCTTAGAAAAATACTATGATGGTACCATGGTATCCAGTGATAAAGCAATGGGTTTATAAAAGATACACTACCATTTAAAAGCTTGGGGTTGCTCAAATTTCTTAATATTTTTGAAAGAAATCTCTAATGCTCACCAATGCAACATTTCTTGGATCAAAATACAGTAAAGCAGTAGTATTTTGAAATATAATTACAATTTTCATAAGTACAACTGTTTTCTATTTTAATCATTTTTCAAATGTAGTTTATTCCTGTGATGCAAAGCTGAATTTTAAGCATCATTACTCCATGTTTCCATGTGCTGTATCATTTTAATATGCTGATTTACTGCTCAAGAAACATTTCAGATTATTATTATTATCAGTGTTAAAACAGTTGTGCTGCATTATTTTCTTTTATTTTTTATTTAATGGAAACTGACACTTTTTTTCAGGATGATAAGGCTCTCAGTAAGACCAAGAAAGATGACAAGCGTCTGTCTGTGGAAAGGATCTATCAGAAGAAGACCCAACTGGAGCATATTCTGCTCCGGCCTGACACCTACATAGGCTCTGTGGAGCCTGTTACTCAGGTAGAGATCTTCCACATCTGCCATTTATCAGGGCCACTGGCACCCACTGTTTATAAATAATGCATACTGCCCATGACATGTTTCATTAATACAGCAGTAGAATCAATGGTTATTCTAAAGTGGTCACTCATTTTATTAAGGCAAGAATTCATACTGAACTATACTTAAAAAATAACAGAATTAAGAGTTTCTTTCATTCCGTCAAGAACCTGGCCAACTCATTTCTTGAAAGTAATTTAAATGTTTTCAGATGGCAGTGCCGTCACAACTGTAGAATAACCCAATATTTCTTCGCTTTCTCTTTCCTGTTTAGCAAATGTGGGTGTTTGATGAGGATATGGGAATGAACTGCAGAGACATCACGTATGTCCCAGGACTCTATTTAATGAAAATTGTCTTTTTTTTTGAGGTTTTTTTTTTTTTTTTTTTTTTTTTTTAATAATAAAAAAAAAATAAAAAATTGAAACATTATACATGTCTTTACTGTCACTTTTGATCAATTTAATGCATCCTTGCAAATAAAAGTATTAATTTCTTTTAAAAACGTTAAGACTTTTGAATGGTAGCGTATTTTCCATGATACTAGCATGTTGTTTGGTATGCCAGTATATATTGAAGTACCTTGACATTACTACCTGATACCACCATTTTATTATTAACCACTGAATTATTACTATATTCATACACAATAGACCAATCTCAAAGAATACCATGATAGTACTGTAGTACATGTCCAAAAAGCCATGGTTTTAACAATATCATATCCATAGACTATGTAAGTAATGAAGACATTTACTCAGACTCTTTCCTGTTTAGTCTGATATAGTATTGTTATACTCATATTTGGCAGAAAAGCAATTGCATTAAACGAGTGATTAATGCAGCTGTGATTCCCACTGCATGAAGCGTTTGCAGACATTCCCAGACTCTTGATTGAAATTGACCTTAATTTGTAATCTGTCATTGACTCCTGCACAGATGCAGCTCTTAGTTCTACGCCGATGCTCCGCCTCTACGATTACTCCGTTGTTGCCATGGCAATAGAGGGTCAGGCAGCCTGGCCTGCCGCCGCCAAGCGTGTCATCAATCCTCGGCGTTTACTTTTGAGTGACGGCGGAGAGATTAAATGTTTATGCCCTCTTGACACCAGCTGCCCCTCTGAAATCTAAATTAGAGATTAGAATCAGAACGACGGATTCCTGAAGACCCAAACCAGGGCTGAATTTCAAAAGTGTCGCGAAAAGTCTCATACACCTCTGCCGGCGACAGTAAGACTCGGTACCTTAGTCATTTTCTTTTTAGCCTTTGCAGCAAAAACTGAGATCTGAAAAACATCTATTTTGCACGGCTTTCTGCCAAACGTCGGAATGAACAGGAAACTTTGCTGAAGGGATTTTTGTTCTGTCCTATCTTGACATGTTCAGACATGCCCTTACTGGCTCCAATGCAGTTATCTCCTACTTTAAAAGCTTCAGTGAATGCACTTGAAAAAAGCTGTTAAATTCAATTATTTTCAGTTAAACAACCATTTTTAGTGGTGCTTCTTAATGCAAGCATTATTTATCTTATTTTAGAGTTAGAGATTTGAACTAGTTGATTCCTCAAATCTGTATCTGAAGTGATTTTCAGACCAATCTCAGCCTGTTTTGCATGCAAGTAGGGATATGCCGGTATCAATTTTTCATGTTGCGATTAATTGCAATATATAATTATTCACGGTATTTAGAAGTGCCCACGATAACAATATCGTGCATATTCATTACCGTGATATATCACATTACCGAATACCGGCACAAGTCTACATGCAAGCATCACTTGCATTTTCTTTAGTAAATAAATTATTTTTTGCAGTAGGAATGTGCGATATTGACAAAAAATATTTTTATTTTTTTGCTAACGATAATTCAACATTATTTTGCTTGGCTCCTTGGCTCTTCCTCAAGCCATCCTAGGTGTATATGACTTTCTTCTTTCAGACAAATACAATTGGAGTTATATAAAAAAATGTCAAAATAACAAAAAAGTCATATACACCTAGCATGGCTTGAGGGTGAGTAAATCATGGGGTAATTTTCATTTTTGGGTGAACTATCCCTTTAACTATTATCATACCTTATAACTATAAAAAACAAAAGCCCATACAAGGATATTTTTGCTCTCAGAACTTGAATTATAGGGTCATTCGAATTGCATTCTAATAGGCTTCATCATGCAGTGAATGCTTTGGGCCTCTCAAGATGTGTTTTAGTTTGTTTTTTGCAAAGTGAGTGACACTCGATAATGTAAGTTTGCATATTGTTAAAACAGCAGTTACAATATTGTACACAATAAATATCAGGTTGCAGGCTTGCAGGTGTATTCACATTGGCTAATATGAACATATTGTTCAATTTCTCCTGTTAGAGCAAAAACTATGCTGAAATTCTACACTTTTTTTTTGTTTTTAAGCTCAAGGGAAGCATTGACGAAATAAAAATAGCTATGGACATAGGTGAACTAATTAAAAGTGTAGTGTTCTTGGCGTAATGGCTTTATGGATAATATCTCTCTCAGTCGATATGAGATCACTGGTTGAAATCTCAATGTAGGGTCATGTTGTGTTTCGTTCTGCTGTTATTAACGTACCTCACTGCTCCATCGGGCTGTACTTCAGTGCCCTCGATGAACCTCTTAATGCCAATTTACTCCAGGGGTCACTGAACTTGGAAGTAAGGATTTGCTATGTGGTATGAACTTTCGCAAGTTTCAGTCGTACACTGTGCAACAAGCATTCAATCATTATATTTATCCAGTCCTAGGAGGTGCTCAGAAGTGTCAAAGCTCCATCATGCATTTCCCAATGCAAAGGGAACAAAGGCTGCGTTTACACTGGCACAAAAAATCCGATCTTTCGCTCGCATCTGACACAGATCGGAATTTGTTGCACACGTGTAAACACAAAAACCTGCACGAGATCCGATTTTTTTGCATCCGATCTGAGCCACTTCCAAATGTGGATTTTAATCGGATACACATCTGATATCTGGACATCCGACCTACGTCTAAACACACATATCCGATTCTCCACAGAACTCCCAATGCGAGGGCGACACGTTTGCTCATAAAGATTTTTAATGGCGTTTCAATGCCGGCGTGCTGTATGTGCTCGCATTTTATTGCGATGGAAACTTTTTATAGGTAAGAAATTGCACATTCAGGAGCTGATTTTCAACCCCCGCCCCGTGAATTTTTAAAATACAACAGCTAAAAGCTACATATATTTCTCAGCAATGAGGTGATAACTTAGCAGTTTTTGTAATTAAACCGACAAGCTTGTTTGCAATGCTTCACAATCGCTCGCTCGCACGTGGGTGCATATGCATTAGTTCGTTCTCTCTCTCTCTCTCTCTCCTTAATTCGAATTCATTTCAATAAATATCATCTTTATTTCACTAAAGAATTCTACCTCTAACGAGCTGTAGATAAAATAGTCTTAACAACTTATTTTCCGGTCTTTATCCGTTCAGTCAGATTTTGTGCTGCAAACCATCCATGACAGCCATTGTCCATGCTGGCAAATAATAATGGCCATTCGACGTGAATTATATAAATAATTTTAATAGCACGGCCATTTAAAACCCAGGGTCTAGTGATCTAATGTATATATAGTTTATAATATTTTATAATTTATTATATTTCTTACTGTAAAATAAAATTTGTTTTGAATTAGTCATTTAGAATTCATTTATTTATATAAATAGATCTCTCTCCTTAATTCGAATTCATTTCAATAAATATCATCTTTATTTCACTAAAGAATTCTACCTCTAACGAGCTGTAGATAAAATAGTCTAACAAATTAAAATTACCGTTATTTTCCGGTCTTTATCCGTTCAGTCAGATTTTGTGCTGCAAAACATCCATGACAGCCGTTGTCCATGCTGGCAAATAATAATGGCCATTCGACGTGAATTATATAAATATTTTAATAGCACGGCCATTTAAAACCCGAGGGTCTACCATGTGCATAGTAAAGCGATCACTGCAGACAATCCTTTTGGGTAGGAATGAATGTAAACACAGATATCGGATACCAGTCGTGTCTAAAGTGAATGTAAACAGACGTGCCAAAAAATCATATATGGTCAAAAGATCGGATCTGTGCATTAAGACTTGCAGTGTAAACGCAGCCAAAGTAGAGTTAAAATAAAGCGAGGTCATGCACTGAGAACTGAACCGAATGCTGACTATTTTTTATAGTGAAATAGTATGCATTATGCTACATTGTCACATTTTCTCATCACGTTGCATGTCAAGGGTGTCCAGCTCTAATTGCTCTGCATTTTTTATTTGATTTTGTGTAATACCTTTTATCTTTAATTTTTGGTAGGCAGATCAAATAATGAATCAAAACTTGTTGCAAAATTGTCACTCCAGTTGCTTCATGTTTATTCATCACACTGGAAATGGAAAGTCAAGTTAGGTTCATTGCATTTTGCACAATATAGTCCCCTCATGAACAGTGTTCACATAATCAAAGTAGTTCAATCTATTTTGTGTTTATTGCTTATATATTTAATGCTTTAATAAAGATTTAATTATTAAAAGGATATTTTCATTTAAAAATATATTGATTTAAAAATAATTGTGTGTGTGTGTATACATACACACACACAAATAATTTATATCAATTATTATTCAATTTTAAAAATAGTGGTTTTATGTATTAATAATTTACTATTTTATTTAAATATTTAGATATATTAACAAACTATTATAACATTATATATATATA